AGGTCTCTGCAACGGTGCATACATACTGCAAAACAATAAAAGGCTTAAAAAGCCAACAAAGTATTTTCCCATAGTCAAACTAAAAGACCATAGGTGATATTTATTCTATTGCTTTCCTAAAAAAAAAATCCCAAAAACCCCAAACTTACTAAAGTTACAGATGCTCGTTGGAATCCTAGCAACACTAAAACCCTTCTGAAGCCACTTTTTTACAGGTGCCTGTAGTGAGGCTGATGTATTTTTTGGTTTTCCTCATGGCCAGTAACTATCTTGTTATAATTTTTTCCCCATCTCTCACTAACATTTTATCCGTCTTCACAACTTGATCCCAACACTCTCATTGTACCTGCAGTATTAGTACTTTATTGTCATGCAGAATTCCAGCTAAATTACTGGGGTCCTGTGTAGAAGCAAAGGGATATTCGTATGGAGTCAGTTGTAAAATGAAGGGTCCTAGTGTATTTGAAAATTAACTAGTGCCAGGCAACATTTCTTGGCTGTAGAAATCAATTCATTCTAAATTGTAAGAAGAGTCCAAGCCATAAATTTGACTTCTGCCAACTAGTCAAGCTCTCTGAGGCAATACCAGGGAATAATCTGGGAGTTAGAGCAGATCAGGAACAATTTCTAAAAGGCACTTTTTGGAGGGTTTGAAAATTTGCGAACATGGAGACAGCTGTTGCACGTCAATTGTCCTTAGTACTGGAAGCCATTTTAACTGTGTTTAATTTACTGTATAGACGTATCCTCAATGTCTCATGGCATAGTCTCCACTGGTGAAGTACCTAAAAATTAAGTACTGCCTTAGCATTAGTAACAATCCAAGGGCTTATGGAGTGATTAACTAACACAAATCTCATGCTAGCATTAGCACTGAACAAGATTGTGGGTGGGAGTTGTGCTAACCAGATGCTACTGGTCTTGCCTTGGTTGCTTGCTCTCTCAGTGTATTACCACTGATGGCTACAGTTGCCTTATCTTACAGAGACATTCATAGCACAGTACTCCAGATACACAGTACAGAAATAGTTCAGTGCTTCCATGTCAGCAAGCTCCTTTGGTACTGAGATAAGCAAAATGAAGGTGATGTGTTTCTGTTGCACAGGGAGCAGCAACAGCAAAGAAAACCTTCTTTTACTTTTTCCCACACAGGTGTGAATGAAGCAATGTAAAGAAAATCTTTCACATATTAATACCTAATGTCAAATATGCATGTTCATCCATGCTCCAGGTCATGTATATCATTCCTCCTTTCTACTCTGTGTGTCTCCTACCATCATTGGTTACCATTTCATAAGCTCCTACCATCCCTTTCCTGACCCCTTTTCTAGTGCTCCTGGAGGAGGACCTCCCAACAGCCATCCTCTGCCTTCATTTGCCTGTAACACCATGTGGTAACTCCACCAAAAAGCAAAACATTGATTGTTTCAACCAGCCTGTAGAGACCATCTTGGATGATGAAAAGTGCATTGGAAAAATCTTTACGAGGCTATGTTGTAACGTTAAGAGAGGTGAACAGGAATGTGGAAATAGAGACACAAATGAAAGCAGTGCTATAACCTACTGTGCTATATTTGCAGTAGCATTGTACTCACTGTGTACAGAAAAAAGCAAAAGGCTTTCCTTCTTAATATATCTAGAGAAATGACATTGTGATGATGAAAATCTAGAGAAGGATAAATAGAGACATTTTATTTCAGCTTCTGCCTCAGAGGCAATACTAGCCTGGCTATTAGTGGAATTTTCAGCTGAAAAAAAAGGACACTGATTTTTCAGCATAGCGTATCTTAATGGATATTCTGCATTAAAAATGAAAAGCCCCTAAAAACATATTCTCAGCATCTGATTGTACCAGTTAGGAACAGTATTTAGTTCTGTAATTTTACAGGTGATATTAACTGCTGCTATGTACTTACTTTCAATATAAATGTTGACAGACTGGATAAACAGGTGCCTGTCACTTCTGTGGCTGGTTTATTCTTCATGAAGAGCCTCTTCCTAAGTTTTGCATAAAGAAGAACTGACATTGAAAGAGGGAAAACAAGTTTCAGAGATTATTTTAAACACAGAATTCAAAACATAATTACTCAACTAAATCTTACACTTTGAACGAGGTCATTGTGTGAAATTTTGTTTTATTCATAACAAGACAAGAAAAATAATTAGGATTTTTTCATCTTTTATCATCTGACTTTAAAATGTACTGCACTTTTGCATGCTGGATTTTTTTTGTACATAAAGCAACTCATTTTTTGTTTTTCACAATCCAAGCTATACATTCCATTTAGGAAGCTTATCTACTACACAATTTGTGAATTTATATAAGGACTGGATACCCAATAACAATATGGACAACACAAGTTAAAAAGAAGAAAAGCTAAAAAAAAAGATGATGGAAAAAAATATTATGCAGATGGTAACCATATTGCTGAACATGCTTTTTTTCCAATAAGTATATCCAATTATTTTTCACCATTTTTGCCTTTATAAAAATAATTTGATCCTCAAATCTTTAGAGCTGCTAAAAGATAAACACAATGGTAAGAAATTTTCAATTAAGTGAAGTAGATCAGATATGAAAAAAAAACAGGTGACATGTAAATTGTCTGATTTGAGAGGAGAATACAGAGCAGAACACGATCCATGAGTTTAGGAGAGAGGGAGAAAGAAGTTAAGGGTGTTTCATGGGAAGATGGAGGAAAATTCTGGGGTTATGCTCTCTCTCACTAGAATATTTCTCGTTTGTCCAGTGTATAACATATGTACATCTTCTATTTTCATACTTGTAAGGTGTTGGTGGCAAGTTTTGGTAGCAGGCAGAGGAGCTGCATCTGTGAGGAGAGGCCAGAAGCTGCCCATTGCTGGATACAGACCATCACAGCTAAGCTCTCAGCCAAGCTGGTGGTGCCTCTAGGAAAACATATTTAAGAAAGGGCAAAATGCCAGACAGCACTTATTTTGGAACTGTGCTTCTGTTTCAATTATCTCATAGATTATCCTACCTATCAGATTACTGATGTTAATATTTAGATGCAAAGCTATTTAAAAGATTATAAAACATTAAAAAACAAAAAAAGCGTTATATTATATCCTAGGAAAGCTTTAAGAAGTAGTAATATGGGCTGTGCACTGAGATCTCTTCATCCCAAACCTCCCTTTCTGCAGAAGTGATAGAAGTTCAAGTCCTGTCAGAAGACCCTATTCATGGGTGTGGGGAAAGGCCAGAATAAAACACACCATTGTTCCAGAGGCTACAAATGTCCCAGAGACAAAAACTGCTGGAGTTGAAGACAGGCTTTGAGATAAACCTGAACTTGTTGAGGTGGAAAAGTGAAAACTTGCTACCATTGACCTCTGTGGCTAGACCTCTGCTGGTGTGCATGATAGTCATTGAGGTCTGTATCCCCTGATTCAGCGCAGTTCAGTGCTGTCCTATGCTGCCCCCTTGGACATGAGTGGATCTCTCCCTGTGTTACCAAGTGGGCATAATGGTAGTATTTCTTCAACAGGACACCATACATTTTGCAGGCTTCATTTGCATGTCAGCTGCAAGTACTGATGTGAGATTCAGATCTCTGACCTCTGATTCCAGGCTTACACAACTCTTCCATAATGGGGACATCAACAGAAAGTCACTTCTCTCCCCAGCCTGTTCCCACAGAGCTGGTATCTTTGAGAGCTCTGTCTGTCTGTCATTCCCAGTTGAAACATATCTCTCATAACTTTATATTTAGATAGCCTTTGGTTAAAAAGGGTCTGGTTTCTAGAATAAGTAAGAATGTAAAACTTATCTAAAAGAATGACAGAACCCTGATCATGGAGAAAACCAGCTAGCTCTAGGGCCACTGAACCTAGCGTATCTTGGGCTCTGGCAGCTCTGTAACATAGTTAAATTACCTCATATCTGCTAAAGTGTGAACTCAGATCAAAGCTTTCTGTGTAGCTGGAGTCACCATAACTTCTCCTTTCCAAGCATAATATTGGGTGCATAACATAGATTAAATCAGCTGCTACCCCTACTTTATCTGGGGACACAAATATTTTCTTCTACCCAGATTCCCATTTCTGTAAAAACTGTAGAAGCCTAACTTTTCTCTGTGAAATTCAATTGAAAGTGGCAAGACTCAACTGTTAAGTTGGAAGGGGAAAAGGACTCTTAGACTGATATACCCCTATACACTTAAACAGCACTTCCTTAGGATGCTTGACTGTCTACACACACACATACAGTCACTAGACTTACACTAGCAAGCCCTATCACAATATTTAGCAGACATCTACTAACAGCACAATATCCTTGTAACATGTGAATACTTGTCCCTCTTGTGTGAGGCCAGTGCACAGGGAATATGCTGGTTTGATGTCAGTAAAAGGTCTGATGTAGAGGGCATCCCTGCTGTTGTTCAGAGTCCCACAGATAGATACAAGAGAAAAAAATAAACTCTTCCCTCTGGTTCTGAGTATTTGAGCTCAAAGGGGTTTTTATTTATTTCATAACTTTGTCACTTCTCAGTGTTCCATCATCTGACTTCTTATCTAAACTGTGGATGATAAACAGCCAGAATTCTCTCATCATGACAGACAGGGATTTTGATTCTTCTCTGTCAGCCAAGCTTCTGATAGCAAGTAGAACAGTGAGATCAGTTAGATAATATGGATGATGCAAACAATTCCTGAAAATGTGCTGGAGGCACTGACCAGTTTCTGAAATTACTGAGGAAACTCACTACAACATCCTCATAAAATATTCATAACATTATGACATGAGGCAGACATGCTTCACTGTAGTGCAGGAGCTTCCAGTAGAATGGCTTTGAGCTCTGTGTGTGTGTGTGTGTCCATATGTATGAAAGCGGGGTGAGAAGGGAATGCTTAAGCCAAGTGACATGAAGGATCAACCTGTCTCTAATAGCAGAGAGACTATCGCAGTGTATTGGGTTTATGTGGCAAGGTTCTGGTAGTGGGGTGATTGCAGGGGTGACCTCTGTGAGAAGAGACCAAGGTCTGCTCATGTTGGTCCCAGGCAGTGCCAGCCCACTTCAGCAAACTCATCACAGGACACAGCTGAGCCATGAGTGATGCTGGTGCCACTTCTGTATTAACATATTTAAGAAAAGGTAAAATGCTCTGCAGTAGCTGTGAGAGAGAAGTGAGAAAAATATGACAAACAATCCTTTAGACACCAAGGTCAGAGAAGAAGGAGGCAGGGAAGGTGCTCGTGCTCCAGGAGCCAAAGCAGACATTCCCCTGCAGGCTGTGAAGGACAATGTCAGAGGAGGTATCCACACTACAGTCCATAGAGGACCCCATGATGCAGCAGGTGGATATGCCCTGAAAAATGGTGTATTCCGTGGAGAGCTCATACAAGGAGCAGGCTCCTGGCAGGAGCTGCAGCTCATGGAGAGGAGCCCACACAGGAGCAGATTTTCAGGCAGAAACTGTGGCCCATGGGGAATCTACACTGGAGCAATTTCTGAAGGACTCTCTCCTGTGGGAAGGACCCCACACTGGAGCAGGGGAAAAGTGTGAGGAGGAAAGAACAGCAGATAGGAGCTGCTGGGACCACAGCACCCATTCTCCATCCCCCTGTGCCACTCTGGGTTGTAGGTAGAAGAGTTGGGAAGGAAGGAGTGAAGTTGAGCCTGGGAAAATGCGGGGGATAGGGGGAAGCTTTTTTAGCTTTGTCGTTGCTTCTCATCATCCTACACTATTTTTAATTGGCAATAAATTAATCTTCCCAAAGTTGAGTCTGTTTTGCCCATGATGGTAATTAGTAAGTGACCTCTCTGTCTTTATCTCAACCCATGATTTTTTTTTCATCTTATTTTCTCCTCCTATCCTGTTGAGGAGGGGGAGTGATAGAGCAGGTGGGTGGGCGTCTTGCAGCAAGTCAAGGTCAAACCCAGTACACAGAGCAAGTTATGAGTTAGTAGAATAAATAAGCTTTGATCACTTCCTCCTCTTCAGGAAACATCGCTGTAATTTGGTTGTCAACATCCCACTGCTCAGACCTGTGCATTTACACAGACAGTGTAGCATATTTAGCAAATGCTGAGGGTTTCCAAAGAGAAAGCTTTCCATCACTGTGATCCCTTGAAGACAGGTGTCTAAACTGTGACCTCTGTCAAGGATGCTTGGAATACCACTTAAGGACAATTTATAATGGTACAGAAAATAGGGTAGCTGCATAGTCATTATATCTGAATAGGGGGTAGTAAGCCACTAGGAGGGAAGTCAAATCCTCCAAGATAAACCAGCTGGGTGCAGTTTTGAAATGTGATCTCAGACAGAAGTGTTGGCAAAAGGCAAATTTTACAAGTAGAACAGGATGTATAACTCTCACTCATAAAGCTAATCTCAAAGCAAACAAAAGTAAATAAATAAATAGAAATGTAGATTAAAATCAGGAAAAAAATATTTTATTCTATAGTTCTTATTCTTGTATGTGCAAACACTGATGCACTTTTGGGAATCTTGCCAGGAAGATATGTCTGCTCCTTTCTAAACATAGCCAAAGATGAGATCCTTGGCTTTTTCATGCTTATCACTTAATTCTTAGTTTGGTGTATCTCATGCCTACCCTGACTGCAGCAGTCTTTAATGCTTCAGCATGAGAAGAGTCATACTTCCCTCTGCTTGATAAGTATGGGCAAAAGCTTATCAACTGCACAGAAAAACAAAGCAAAAATGAATCAAATATTTGCACTAACTTTTCCACAGATTTTCAACACATTTAAATATTTCCAAAGGTAAATAAAAATCAAAACAAATCTGATGGAAATGTTTGCAACACTTAGGTTTTTATTTCTGTTGGTTTTCAGCGAAAATGAGTCCTTGTTTCACACAGCACCTTTGATTGAAGTGTCTACAAGTGTCCCTAGGTCTTCCTCTGCAAAACTGTTTCTCATTAGATGGAGCTGAGCCTCCTTTGTTGCATGGAGTTATTAGAAAAGGTACTTCTTTAAAAAAGTGGACATTTAATTTATTTTTTTTTTTAGCTTTCAATTTCTTATTCAGAGAATTGCACCTTTTTATATCTTTTCCGTAAGTCTCAATATTCTTCAAACATGGGAAACATGAATCATATCTTTTTTTTTTTTTTTTTTTGTAAAGCAACATAGAGGTCTGATAGTTTGCCCAAGATTGTTCACCACATTTGTGAAATCTGGGAAGACAATTGAATCTTTGTGATTCCTCATCCACAACTTCTTCTCTGAGAGATAAATTAAATAATTAACCATGTTCATGAGAAATCTGCCATTCATGGAAGAACTATTGTCCTTGCGGCAAAGAAAGCATCCTGGACTGCATTAGGCATAGCATTTCCAGCAAGTCGAAGGAGGTGATCTTTCCTTCTGCTCAGCCCTGGTGAGGCCTCACCTGGAGTACTGTGTCCAGTTCTGGGCTCCCCAGTACCAGAGAGAAATGGAGTTCTTGGAGACAGACCAGCAAAGAGCCCTTAAGAAGATGGAGGGACTGGAACATCTCTCACATAAGGACAGGCTGAGAGATCTTGGACTGCTTGGCCTAAGGAAGAGAAGGTTCAGGGGGAGATCTCATCAATATGCAGAATAACCCTGGTGGAAGGGTGTAATGAAGAGGGAGCCAGGCTCCTTTCAGTGATGCCCACTGACGGCTCAGAGGCAGTGGGCACAAACTGAAACACTGGATGTTCCCTCTGAACATCAGGAAACTTTTTTACTGTGAGGATGAGCAAATGTTGGCACAGGTTGATTAGAGAAGTTGTGGAGTCTTCATACCTGGAGATATTTAAAAGCCATCTGGACACAGTCCTGGGCCTGTGATACTGCTCGTAGGTTGGAACAGATGACCTCCAGGGGCTCCTTCCAACCTCAACCATTCTGTAATTCTGTGAAGTGCTCAGAGCTTGAGAGATCTTGATCTGCAGCATAGGCACTATTTCTATATCAGTGGTATTTGATTACTGAAAAGGTATAAGTAACTGGTAAAGTGTGGTAAGACTATTTGTTAAGAGAAAGAAGAGAATCCTGGGTAACAGAACTTTGAGCCATGTGCTTCTATTTGTAGCTTTCACTCTGCTAATATGAGTTTCATCTGCACTTTCAGGACATTTTTTGTATAATAGCTGCTTCACTTTTACCAGCACTTCAGTGTGAATAATCTTTATGTCCCAGAAAATTCAAATCTTCAATGAGTGGAAAATCATGTGAAGAAAACCATCATGAGCTAGGCAAACATTTTGCTATTTTTTTCTCCTATTTCAACCACAGTAACATCTCTTTCTTCCCCAGTCAGAATTGTAGTTCCGCTTCATTAGAGAACAACACTTCCTTATCGCCATTACAGGATTTGTTCTTATTGCCTGCTAATCAGGTTCTAACATAAACTATGCATATGTAATCATAATTGTAGCAATAACTATTGCTTACCTCTAACCAGGGGAGTCCTGAGACACCTGCTTTAATATTCACAAGGAATAATTTTATGTTTCTTTATGACTGTTGAAGTAATTCATTCCAGTTTTATAATTTTGTGGAAATGGAGTTTTATTTTGGATATATGCATGAAAATTTTAAACCAGTTTTTATAGCTAAGTGAAGTGACCATTTTTGTAAACTCATGAAAATAAGAAGTTTTGGGGTAAACCATAAAAGAAATACAGGGAAATTTATCCATGTGTTAGAAATCGTTGTACCTTTGGGAAAAGAGTATTTAGTTTTCATTGGATATGAATTCCAGCCATCTTCCAAGCTTATGAATTCACAACTGTGGGAAACTGCAAGTCTAGGTCCTCTCAGATCACCAGGGGTTAGACAGAGTGGCATTACAGTGAATTCACAGTGCTGACTAATTAGAAACCAATTGCTAACTGAATAAAAGGCTCCCTCTCAGACTCAGACTGAGCCAGTTCAGTTGGCCAAGTGATTTTGGAAGAAGGTTGAGATGAAGGGCTAACAACAGTTCCCCAGGGATCTTCCTGACCTTACTGGTAGGTATGTAGCAGCTAAACCTGGCTGACCATTGCTTGCTATAGGGTCACTTCTCCACAGGTTTGCTCTGAGTACACTGGTCATACATGATCTCTTATCTTTTTATGGAAAACATCCTTCAGCAGGACAAGGGAGTCCTTTGTACAGACAATATGGGATTTAACACTGATTTCAGTTATTTTTGTTGAAATAGTGGAAAACAATAACAAAAACATCTTTAAGCACAGCTTTATATCTTGTTCATGACACTTTGCTTTATTCTGGTATTCAAACTCTGGCCACTCTGATGAGTCCTACTTATCCCCTCTATCTATCATACTGTCAGACAGAGAACACCACCAGGAGCATAATGACCTTTCTGGTGCTATCCAAAACCTCAGTATTCCCTATCTTTATAGTGCTTTTTTCACATGATTAAATATTTAGTATTGCACTTCAAACTCCATGGGGCCCTAGTTACACTTGATTTAAAGTAGAAGTGGAAATACAGGAGAATAATACAAATACCTCAGCTCTTATCTGAACTGAGCCTAGCCCTTTTTTTTCCTAAAGATAACATCACAATGCAAGGCAATGTGAGTCAGGATTCCCTATTTACGAATGTCTAAAGAAGTTGATTCCAGAGCTGTGCTTTGCTTTTGACAAACCATTTTTTATTTTCTTCTTGGAACATTTGAATTTATTTCTGTGACAGGTTTTACTGGAATATACCAGTCTACTTAATGTCTAGTCATGAGAATTTTATAGTTTAGGGTGGTATAACAGAAGAGGAAATCTGATCCTGGCCTCTGATGAGTACATCTGTACAGGTTATGGAAGACCAAGGCTTTTTAAAGTGTATAGACAGACTGATGTGGGCCAAGCGTTTGACTTTGCATTATATTATTCTTTAAGCTAGCATTCTGCTCAAGAGATACGCTGAAATGATAGGCTGCTACTTCTCTCAGTTTTCATGATGCGCTGAAAGATACTGTTTCAGTTACAGTAAAAAATGTGATTTTATGTTTCTTAATTTGAAGTCTTTGCAAAGAAAGAAGCAGTTTTTCTTCTTACTTCTCCTGGACTCTTCTGCCTCAGAAAGCCTGCCTGAGGAAAAAGTCAGCTGTTCCCAGCACAGACCTCATTTTGTTATAACTATTTAACTTGCAAAGGTACCCTCTCAAAACCCTCTCCAAACTTTTTCTCTTTAGAGCCCCCATGCAACACAGTGTGGTAACAGGAGAAAACTCTGGTAAGGTTTTGGAAGGACAGTTATGGAAAAGAGCAAAAAAACATTCCAAAGACTTCTCCAAAGCTGCTAAGGATGAGTCAGATTCACAGACTAACTGCTCACGGTGAACATGAAGATAAAGTCTGATTAGCTCCTTAGTTTTGTGGCCAGCAGGCAGAGAGATCCTGAAGGTGTGGCTGAATTAATTCTTTATACCATGATGTGGTCAGTATTTTTGTGTCTAGAGACATACTAAATAATAACAACATTTTATTATTACAACCTCAACTACATTTTTAATATGAAAGGTAAGATCTGGGCTTTCAGTTCATTTCCAGCTCCTGCTTCTTATTCTGCTGCCAGTATAATCCCAAAGCTCATGAAACTCTCCATATGAGTCATTAATTTATGCAGTTGCTTTTTATTTGGCCAGTCCCACAAGACACAGAGCACAATGGCTTGTGTACCTGTTAGCATTTTCACTCAAAGACTGAGTCAGAGAGAGGACTATAACAATTTATATACTCAGAGTTCACGTACTGCAAATAATGTACAGAAATGGCTTAAAAGTCTGTGTACCGATTAGAAGAGAAACACTCAGCATGTGTACTGAGCACAGTGGATTGATTTATAAAACTTTGCTTATTTCACATCTTAAATTGTTACTTGTTTTCTGTGTTCAATTTATTTCTGCTCAATAATTCATTTCAGCAATTAGTTTTGAATCCTTATTAGTATAGGAATGTTGGCTAAGGTAGAAGGCAAACAATTTGTGAGGAGTGTGAGCTGAAATGAGTAAGAGAAGTACCATTACAGTCAAAAAGCTGAACATGCCCATGCATATCTGATGAGGAACCCATGAAGGTCAACTAATGAGCAGACAAGTGGCAGTCCTTGTGGGAGACTAGAAATGTCATCAGATTTGCTACGTGATTTTGCATATATAACCTCATCTGAAAATAGAAACATTTGAAATATCACTGGGACTCTTGAGAATTAATCTAATATCATTCCAGCATGTGGTTTAGCAATACATATAGTTTCCACTGTTCTTAGAAAGGTGAAACTGGTTTTCTATACTGGCTAGACAGATGTACAAAAAACTTTTGAAGAGTCATCATTTACATTTCCAAACAGATCACACCTGTCTATGTTTCCTTCCTATCTCTCTCTTCAGGATAACTCAGCATAAGAGTGAGGGGAATTGGATATGGCAGTTACAGTAGTTGTCTGATTATTTACTTTGTGCACAAATGATTACAAGCACAGGCAGGCAGCAGTGCTAAGGGAATATGGGAGATACTCTCATTGCTATGATTTTGGAAAACCAATCTCAGACACTAAGTGCTAAAGACCATCATGATATCAAACAAAACGAAAAATAGCAATTCTGTTTGCTCCATAGCCTTTTCACCCACGTGGATCTCAGCCCTCCAAGTGCACAACAGTTCTTAAGAGCTCTGCACAGAGGTCTGCAGGCATCTTCAGACGTTTCCTTAGCAACAGGAGCCATGTGCAGGCTATCTCAGCTGCTATTCCTACACCAGGTTTCCTTGGCAGCAAGGAAAATATTTAGAAAGGAAAAAAATGGAGAGAGATCTCTTCCAATAAGGGAGTGAGTTTCAGCAATTTACCTGTGCAGTCAAGGCTTTAAAAAAAAAAAAAAAAAAAGTTGTGCTCATGAAATATTTTTTTTTAAAGATCTGTATGGACCTGGGCTTTCCATTGCTAAGGCTGACAGAAAAAGCACAGGGATGGCAGTGTGTGCCTGGCCAAGAAGAATGTCATGCTGTCATGGCTGTCTGCACAGCAGATCCTGATCCCAAGAGAGTTGCATAGTTGTAGTAACAGCATCTTTGCCTGCAGGTCAGGTGGCCCTGGAGAAGTAGCTTGCATGTAGACTGAGAAGATGTCACCCAGAGGTGAGGGCTGCCAGTGAGCTCAGGAGACCAGCCCAGCAATTTGTATTGCTTATCTTAGCAAAGTTTCTCTAACAGGAGATGACCTCCACTTACCAACAACACGAAACAACCTGTGCTCACCACTGTTTATAAGATTAGGAAGAAAGAAGTACACACGCTGGCTGTTGTTGTTCATTGGCTATAAGCTTACCCACAGTGAAGGTTGCATACCAGGATACATCTATCCATCACGTAAATAACAAGGCAAGTCCCGCTCCTTGGCAAGGCAGATTAACCCCTAGATTGTCGTATAGTACAAAGAATCAGGGTTACATGTACCAAGCCAGCTACCCTGAAACATTTGTATATTTCTATACAAGACTGCATATGCATTGTAAACTGCTTGAAAGGTATCTTTCATTTTGTGATTTCAGGCCCCTTAAACTTTCAATTTAATTAAAATCCAAAATACACACACTGCATCATCTACCTATCAGATAGTGAGATTTTACATTTTATTTCTCAAGTAGAACACAAACCAGAAAATGTATTCTTTGTATTAAGACTTAGGGCAACTATACTGTCTAAAACATCGACTGATGAGGCACTGTGGAAGAAAGCTTGATGACTAAGGGCACAAAAGAGTAGCAGTTTTCTGGCAGCAGTTTCTTGCATCTGTACAGAAGTTCAGTGACATTAGGGGAAGATTCTGAGGCATTCATTTTTATAAATGAAAGAAAATGGTTTATATATATATATATATAATGTATATTTTTATAGATACAAACAGACAATGCACAAATGTTCAATTATTCATATTAAAACCAGAATATTAACTTGGAAAGAAAGTGAAATTAGAAAATTATGTAAAATCAAGTATTCCAAAAATCATGAGATCATTCTAACTGATTTTTTCAGAAGTCACAAAAGTTTAGTAGGAGGCCTTACTGCTGTCTTTTTTATGAACTTCAATCTCTTCCTACTGAATTCAGTGGACATGGATGAGATCACGTTTCCTCAGACTTACACTGAAGACTTCTGTGATAGCCATTCTAGATTTTCCATTTGCCCCTTAATAATGAATTTGTCCTGCACTATTTCTACCCTCCTCCTAATCACTTAAGCTTACTCAGACCTCCAGGAATATTTTTGATGTTTGAAGAGGTGTCTGAGGCAAGCACCTGCAGTAGCAGCATTGCTAATCAGAGATGTCTGCTTATCTGCTACAACCGATGTCCTAGTTCAGTTAATCAGTACAACTGCCTGAACAAGTTGGGTGCCACATTCCTAAAAAAGGCATGGTCTTCATTATATCCATTCATAAATTTGCTTCTTAAAACAATTTCTTGCAAGTGCATGTACTATCTGTCGAAATACACCTTTTTATCTCAGATTTCTGTTGGCCTAAATCATTGCACAATATTAATAATGATTTCTGTAGGTCTCTGTGGGGCTTGATGCATTTTGGGGTCCTGTCAAAGTCCTGGAGCTATCAGACAGCTATACTGGGAAGCCTATTTACAGCAAAGCTTTTAAAATCCTTTCAAAGCCTCTCATGAAAATGTACTAAGGAAAAAAGTAAATATGTTTTTCTTATTATACTGTGTCTCCTGCTTAGTTGTCTCTAGCATTATTTGTTTTAATATTTTATCTTTTAGAAACTCATAGGAAGGCAGCGCTGGAGGCACATATAGCTATTTGTCTTCAGGGTTCTGTGATTGCAGGACCATATTTTATGTGCACCCTGATGTGTGAGAATTATTTCAGTCAGTGAGAAAACTAATGACTGGGACTTTGAACATACTGTCACTCAGGCTGAATTATAAAATTGGAAATTAGTGACAAAATTTCTGTGGCACATAAGAATGATAAAGAGGAACTAAAGGGCAAGACTTCTGCAGTAGTGTTATGATCTCTGAAAATATCTCTTCTATCAAGAACATCTTGATTGCCATGCAGAGTCAGCTATTTACCTCTTGCAGACTATTTTAAACTACTGCATAAACTATCTGCACATTCTTAGACCAATGGTGGAAGAGGGATGTGATAATGCGTAAGCCCACAGAGTGCAATTTATAAATATATGTTAATGTTCCTAAGTACAAAAATGGAACTCTGGAGAGAAGGATGAGTAAAGAACAAAATCCTTTAGACATAACATATTGTTAAAGTAGATGTTCAGATGTATGCAATCAGCAGCCAAGTTTTATTCATATTTTGAATATGAAAAGTTTATTGAAGTGCCATATTTTGTTCTTTGTTTTAATTCACAAGGTTTGGAATGAAACCAGGAGTGCCACCAAAAGGAACAACTCAGAAACCTGACCAGTTGCACTTCTTTGGAAGCCAAGTGCTGCAGGGCTAATCTTGATCACTGATCTTTTCATCTTTCCAGGACAAGATATAAAAGACAGTGGTGTTTCCTTAACTAACAGCTTCCTTTCCTAGTGTGGCAGGGCTTTCCCAGTAAACTTCAAAGATTTTCATGATGACTGTCCTGGTTCAGCTAGGATAGGGTTAAGTTTCCCCAGCAGAGAGAGGAGGGGAAGGGATCTCCATCCGGGTTATTCATACCTTGCTGACATCAGGTTGATCAGGTCGGCGCACAGGTACTTTTTCCTTGGTGGCTTCTGGTGGCGGGAGCACACATCGGGTTTGTTCCGTGACCATTGCGGTATTTCTCTGCATATCTTCTGTCTTGTTCACTGTTATTGCTGTTTATTGTTGTTATCATTGCTACTGTTGTTGTTCAGATTGTTTATCACACTGTTGTATTAAATTTCTTCTTATTTTAACCCAGGGTTTGTGCCTCACTGCCAGCCTGACCGGCTGAGGGTGGGGGAGGGACAACGGCAACGTGGTCTCCAGTCCCGGCAGGGCTTAAACCATCACAATGACATTGGTGGAATTTTCTAGTCCCAGTATTACAATGTTACATGTTGGTTAGCAGTTTTGCAATATGATTTTATTCCAGTCAGTAACAGTAAAATGAACAGGAATTTACAAAAGAATGGGGGTAGTAATCTATGGCACTTCAGTTTAAGCCTTATCACTGTTCCTGTAGTCCTACCCAAATGACCTGCTTAAGGTCTTTAGCCAGTACACTGATATACAAATGGAAACACAATGCTACACTAAGCACGGTGTTTCTGAGCAGACTCACTGAAGCTTTTTTGGGAGAACACTCCACTAGCAGGACAGGTTTTTAGAGACAACTTTCTCTGCATGCACATATATGGCATCAGGAAACCTGGTTCATGTTTTCTCTTTCAGTGTGTGTCTGCTGCAGCAGATCCGGTGGAAAGCTATCCATCTATCTGATTTACTGTGGGTCAGGTATCTCTGGGTACATTTGCTACAAAGACAGAGCAGTCTTATTTATCTGTTTATTAGTATTAGTTATCCTCAATTCTCAAGACTGAATGCAGTCCTTATACATATAAATAAGGCACATGCTTTGGCACACTTAACAGCCTCCTGAGATGCTTCATCAAATGCAGGCTGGCAGGCAAATCCTTAATCAGGCAGAGAACAGCCATTGGCCTCTGCCCTTCAGTGTGGATTAGGATAAGTCTCACTGGCAACAACCAGCCACTCTCAAAACTGCTGTTTCCCTTTGCTGTAAGCTGAATTGCTTGATCTTCACTCCTATGATCATAGAATCACCATAGAATCACAGAATGGTTTGGGTTGGAAGGGATCTTAAAGATCACCTAGTTCCAACCCCCTGCCATGGGCAGGGACACCTTCCACTAGCCCAGGTTGCTCAAAGCCCCGTCCAACCTGGCCTTGAACACTGCCAAGGAGGGGGCAGCCACAACTTCTCTGGGCAACCTGTGCCAGGGCCTCACCACCCTCACAGTAAAGAATTTCTTCCTACAATCTAATGTAAATCTACCCTCTTCCAGTTTGAAACCATTACCCCTCATCCTGTCACTACACTACATGATAAAGAGACCCTCCCCATCTTTCCTTTAGGCACCCTTTAAGTACTGGAAGGCCACTGTAAGTTTTCCCTGGAACCTTCTCTTCTCTAGGCTGAACAACACTAGTTCTCTAAGCCTGTGTGATAATAAGTGTTTCTCCGTTCTTCATAGACATAGAATCATCTATGTGTCTTCTGTATTTTATTTTGATGGACTACAATGGGTACATGCTTCTTCCCTTAACAGATGATGCTGCTGACTGGAGGCTATCAGTGAGACAGCAGAGGTAGCCTTAAAGCTAGCCAATGTGTAGGTAGAAGTTTAGGGACAATATCATGAACACTTCTGTTCTGTTTACTGTACATGGGAACAAACCAGGATGGCTATGGGTTGGAATACAGGACAGGAATGTACTATCCATCTTCTAAATATAAATAATATTGACAGCTGATGAAGATATAATGCTAGGTCCTTTCATGCATGGCTTCTGCACCTCTCTCTCATTAGACCTATCACATATAAAAGTCATGCTTAGCTGGAATTTGTGAGAGTTATGCTTTTCAGTTATAGCTGAAGTGCTAATAGTAGCACCACATATGATTTAGCAAATGAACTAGATCTTTTCAAAATAGCCTTGGCATGTCTGTACCACAGTAATGTCACAGTAACACCAGGTCTTAATTTTTCCTAGTGTTAGACTCCCCTGTTATTTCTGTTCCAACAAGGGAAAAATATCAGTGCTTCTATAGAGACACTGGAACAGACTTCACAGTCTTATCTGATCACCTTAACAATCAACTGCGATTACCTCCACATGTACATCAAAAAATAAGAGGGTCACTTAGTAGAAATACCTGTGTATTTACAGAAGAAGATCTGATTTCTAAGTTCTATGCAAGTATAAATTGGGAGCCTAGAGTTTGGTTTGAAAGGAAATGTAGCTGGATTTAAGGATGCTGTTTAATTATTTGTCACTTACACTATCCTAAATCCCGAGTGTCATATTTTAAGGCAAACCTGTGTAGGCAAACTTACTGATAGCGTGGGGGAGATTTAGAGTAGCACTCATTAATAAGACTGTCAGATGCTTACTACTGGATTTTCTGTTCTGAGTAAGAATAAAACATTTGGATTGATATTTCCAAACTGAGTATCTCTGCACTGTGCTGATATTTTCAGCCAGATGTCTCAGTCATTCTGAAGATAAACACATTAAATATGGGAACACGGTGCAGGAGGGAACCTCTTGGATATTTGACTTCAACACTGTTATCTGAGGCAAATATGTCACAGAATCCTGAAATTTTTTAGGCTTTTTCTTTCTCATCGCCTCACTCACTAACTGGAAAACCATTAAGGGCCTTGCAGCTGTAAACCTGCCATTCACAATGAGTGTTTTTAACTTGTCTGTGTCAATATTGTTCTTAGCTTAAACAGCTCTTCTCCCTCTTCTCTGGTGTTTACTTTCCTGGTGTATTTACAGAGAGCAATCATACCAATTTTAGACTCCATTTCACTAGGCTAAACAAGTTAAGAGTTTTCCATCTTCTCTGAATTTCTAAGCTCATAACCAAACAAATGTATGGATAAACATCTTAAAATAATTCATGACAAAATTAATAATTAATTTAAAAGAACTGATTAGTAAAAATAAATTAAAAATCGTTATTAACTTCATAATGCTAAGTCTAATATTGCATATGCAAGGGTGCTTCCAAGTCTCAGATCTTGGTGTGCACCACAGCATGACAGACTGATACAGGGGTCAGACCGTGGTGCAACCAACCATGGAGGGGAAATGCATCAATCAAATCCTACATGTAGTAATGGAAAGACACGTTAGTATCTTGTGGAAATGAAGCCTGAATCAGCCAGGGATAATTTACAAAAGACTCTGCAAAATTATAAAAACAAATATTGTATCAAAATTAGCATGAGACATACAAGAATTTTGTAAGAGCATTCCTTGTTGCTGCGTCCTGAATATTTCTTTCAAAACGTATCTGGCTCATTAAGCTTTACCCAAAGATCTCTGATGGAAACAGACAAGAATGTCAATTTCTTAGTTCTGCTTGGTAGAAAACTTAGAGAAAAAACATTTTAGTCTGATTTGATGCAGAACTACATTTCAGAAGACATCTTCTGTGTACCAGAAATGCAGCTGTAATCACAGGGCACGCAAACACACAATAGAACTGATTCCAGACTCCACAAACAATTCTATTTAATTCTCTTAATTCCTAATGTTCAATTTTCAGTGTTCTTTTATCACAGTTATGAACATGCATGTACAGTTGAATTAATCTCATTATTCTAGCAAACAAGATGAGGGGTCCATTGTTCTCAGTTGTATACAGATAAAGAAGTGGAAGAATTTCAGATTTCAATAAGGGAAGCGAAAAAGGAAGGAAAAAATAGAGGAATTTAGGTAGAAGGATGTACTTCCACCACCTGTTCTAGTTCCTAAGATAGATGTTAAGTGTCTATGTGGGATCAAGAAAGAAAATGTGCAGAGTCCCATGCCTTCCAAATCTTCACTCTTTGTGCTATCAGTGAATTCAAGTAGCACCTATGTACTGATCATCAACTGAAAGAAAATTGGACATTACCTAGTAGGCAGTCTGAATATGATCTTAGTGAATTTCTTAACAGCCATGCCTCATAAGAACTGCTTTTCCAGAGGATTCAGGTAGACTCCCACATTAACTTATTTTTCCCGACCAATCTTTTTTCTTGTAACTGGAAACACAGACGGAAGAGATGTCAAGGCACAAGTTGGTGATGGGAGCAGGAATGCTTTTCAGCTGTGCTTTCAGAGGTCCAAGACCACTTCCTGATGCATCAGTCACTGAAGGAAAGAAAGAAGGATATCTGCCCACACTTTCCTTCTTAATGGAGAGTGTCTTGGGATCTGCCCCAATGGAAGATGCTCAAACTAGGTATGTGACTGTGGTTTCAGATTTGGATCTGTAGAGTGTCTTACCAGTAAAACCAATGCAGTTACTTCCTCCTGCCTCAGAATTTTTCTCCTTCATAGGCTAGTTATCTTTAATAATTCAAGGCTGTCGAAGTCTCAGAAACATTAAAAAAAGTTTGGAAGAGTAATAGGCATGATGGGAATGAAAAGCAGCCTCTATTGCCTAACCACACCTAACAATAAAATTTCCAGCTATCCTAGAATATCTTCTTGCTAGCTCACAGTCTGGTGGATTTGTGGGACTTCAGAAGGTCTGTAGAAGTGTCATTACGATGGGGGTGGGAAAACATAGCAAGCATCTTAGTAGATGTATGGTATGTTGCTGTTGGTTTGCTATTTGTTTTCAAGCAAACAGGTGACTGACAGGAAAAATATGAACTCATCCCTCTGCTCATTTCTGGTAGCTCTGTTGCTCTGTTTTAGCCTGCTTCAGGTTGTCTCTAGAGAGGCTGCTGCCATCAAGGATTGAGCTACAGTCTGGCCCCGTGCTGAAGTACTGGATTCAGCTGTGCAAGGCAGGCAGAAGAGAGAATGTGCCTGTGAGAGAGGCTGTGGGTCTGACGCTTAACTAATAAAAAATGTTGTTATGGGTCTGGCATCAGAAAGGGGCTATATATGGAACAGCCCTCAGCGATAGACTCTGGCATATCCAGAGCAATGTTGACTGATCTAAAAGTAACAGAAACGTGATGTACCTCCCATGGTCCATGTGCAGCATGAGGATCTTCCTGGGGTACAGAGCAATAAACAAGAGATAAACAAGGGATGTTTTAGTCAGGCTGAGATGCATCACAGCATCTGTCTGCCTCAGAGGGAATACTTACTGTAGGGATATCTGCTTGCCAGGGCTCACAAA